GGAGCAGCAGCAGCAGCAGCAGCAGCAGCAGCAGCAGCAGAAGGAGCAGGAGCAGGAGCAGCAGCAGCAGCAGCAGCAGCAGCAGCAGCAGTAGTAGTGCCAGAAGTATTATTATTATTAGTAGTAGTAGTAGTAGCAGTAGTAGTAATATGTGTAATGGTAATAATAGTACCGGTTGTACTACGAGTAGTAGTAATAGTAAAAAGTAGTAATCCCATCGGATGTAGCCTCCGTAAATTCGTCGACTACAGCACCCACAGTGGCCGTTGCACCATTCGTAATCACTGCCTTAAAAGATACAATAACGTCGACCGTCCGACAGGTTAACCAACGGAGTGCGCTTATACAATTCGACAGCAAGCAGAAGAAGGCATGAGCACAGCAAGTCGTGGCCGTAGCACAGGCGAGATCTTATGCCACTGAGACGTCAGCGGGTAGCCGTGAAGCCACTCGTGTCAGCTTCCAGTTCCGCCGTCAGATCAAGGAGGTGCAAGCTGCTCGGCTTCCGCTTTGAGTTGCGGACATCAAAGAAGAATAGATCGCCGACCTCTCGCGAAAGCCTGAAAGTGGAAATGAAAACTCGCCACAGGAACACTGGACTCTCACTTTACACAAAGGAATGCGCCTGCAGCTGTCTTTACGTCGCTCGAGCAGGAGGATGCGGTAGCCCGGTGCCACATAGCGTTGCATGGATAGGCGTTCCAAGCCGTGCTTGGTCGGCCGAACCTCCAAATAGCAATCCAAAGCAACACAGAGCCCAGTCACGTGTTCTTCGATGTTATCGCTCTACGATGGCAAGGGGCTAAGCCAGGGGCCCCGTGTAAGAGATGAGAAGCTGGGAAGGGCTCGCAGCAGGGAGTGGGAGGGGGGGGGGCGGGGCAGCCACTTAAATGCACAGAGTGCAGAGTGCAGAAGTCGACAATCGTTCACACTGAAGTGCACAACTTATATCTCCGACCCTTATTCATACTCTAGCAGCTCCCGTTTCCTGTGTGGCTTTATGCAGACCTTGTCGTTTCTAGATTGCTGCATGGTTTTAGTGCGGGATTCCTAGCAGGTGCAGGCCCGCCTGTCCCAGCCCAGCCCAGCCTAGTCCAGCGCCAAATTCAAAATCAGGTTCCAAAAACCAAACTCCAAGCTGGGATTCCTAGCAGGTGCAGGCCCGCCCCAACCCGAGCATGCACCACGTCCATACAGGCCCAGACTAGTCCAGCGCCAAATTCAAAATCAGGTTCCAAAAAACACAACTCAGTCAAAACTCTGTCAAAACTTTCGGTCAACAATTTATTGGCACATATTGGCACCCAAACCCTTAACAATCTCTATAAACCCTACAAGGGTTTAGGGTTTAGGGTTTAGGTAAAAGGGTGTAGGGTTTAGGGTTTAGGGTTTAGGGTTTAGGGCATGATCATCCCATGCCTAACCCTGAGGGCTCATGTACTCATGTTCTGGGACTATGTTGACTCTCAGAACAACCCTAAACCCTGAACCGTACAGGCACCCGTTTTAATTTAAGGCCAATGTACGTGGACCCTTCGGGAAGCTTGAAGCATGCCTCACGAGTGTTTCATGTTTAGGGTTTAGGGGTTTAGGGGCTTAGGGGTTTAGAGGTTTAGGGTTTAGGGATCGGTTTAGGGTTTAGGGTTTAGGTTTTAGGGTTCAGGGCGTGGATTTCAGGTCTGGCGTTTCTTCTCCCTGCAAAGATCAGCATTTGAAGCCCGCATCAGCACATCTAGCAGATGGAAATCGAAAGCCTAAACGCTAAACTGCAAACTCGGTCTTTGACAAATCTTCCTGCAGCAATTATGTAGGTGTCTGATTACCAAACCCAGATTCCGAGTATGCAGTCCCGGTATTCAACACTACAAGACCCTCATAAACCCATATAGATATAGAAACCTTTTCAAAAAAGGTTGAATGATGCCAATAACGGCCATAAACCCCAAGCGCTATACACCCTAAGCCCTAAGCCCCAAACCCAGAGCCCTGAAACTCAACTGCCCCAAGCGCTATACACCCTAAGCCCCATAAACCCCAAACCCAAAGCCCTGAAACCCTAAACCCTAAACCCTAAACCCTAAACCCTAAACCCGACTTGGGATGGGACTGGCTTCGCCGGCTTCGCGAACGCTCCTGTCCCGCCCCAATGGTCTCCCCCGCAATTAAGCCAGGGCTGTGCTTCGGAATTGAACAAAAATGACAGAGACGGGTTTAGGGTTTAGGGTTTAGGGTTTAGGAGTTTAGAACTTAAGTTTTTAGGGTTTCGGGTTTAGGGTTTAGGAGCTTAGGGCTCGGGACGTCACTTTTCGCTTTAGAATGGAGTGTTCTTAAGAAAGGGTTGCGGGGTGCCTTTGTGACAGCGCGCAAGAGGATGGTCATTTCCGTGGTAGGCTAACTTTGCGAAGATTTCTCAGCGAGTCATGCTAAGACCACAGTGCAGCCAGATTGTTGTAATAGAGGGGCCTTAATAATTAGAATAGGGTTTGGGGGCCCATTACACTCTAAGTATAATAAGGAACCCCCCCAAAATTATTAAGGCACCTATATTACCCCTGAGATAGTATAGGTAACTATTAAGGCCCCTATATTGCCCCTGAAGTATATTGCAACCCTGAAGCCCAAACTCCAAACCCCAAGCCTCACAGTAATCCTGCATACTTCTACTATAAGGTTTAGGGTTTAGGGGCTCTTGAAGATCATTCGAGGGGGTCAGCATGTTCAGGACCACCCTTAACTTCGGAAGAATACTTATACTATGGTGGCCTGAATCATCAGAATTGGATTTGTTGGTGTAGATTCGAAGATTCGTTTAATGGAGAGCCCGTGCAAATCTAGGAATAATATCGGCAGTTCCCTAGGCTTCTAACATACACTGATTCTATGAGGGGATCCGTCCTTGAGAAGATGCTGGATTTTCTGGGGGGGACATATCTGAAGCTGACAAAGCCAGCTCTGAAATCTCTAAAGATAGGATTGCATTGGGCTCAGTGTCATACCAAAGCCGAGGTCTTGTTGGGATGTGAGCAGGGACCCTAATTTAGAGGACTGCCCAAATGCAAAGCTCTGAACTAAAATCCTCTCCGTACACCAAGTTGGGCACAACGAAGGCTACCCGTAGGCCCCGTAGTAGTTCCTTTTCGTTGCTTATATTTAGGATCCTGCTATGTACTCCCAAAAAGGAACTACTACGGCGCCTATGGGTAGACACTCTAATTTTACCAAAAGCCGGAAAATGCGAGAGCTTTTTGCTTGGATGCTGTGGGGGCGCATAACCCCCCCCAACTTGTCAGAGCCATTTACACATTAGCCAAAGCCACATGCCAAGCGAGAGCCTTGCTTGTTATATAGAGGCCTTCATGAATCGACGAGGGTCTGGGGTAATTTATACTCTAAGTATAGTAGGCCTCTGGGACTACAAGGGCGTAGTCCACTAATTATACCATTGGGGAGTTATGACCACTAATTATGCCATTAGGGGATAGTAGGGACTATTTTGGGGTGGTATTACTATTATACCACTCCTCCTCCTCGGGGCTCGAGTCCTGATCCGATCTGTTCCACAGGCTACATTGAATCGTCCTTCCACCACGGAACACATACGCAGCCACGAGCATGGCCACAAGCGCCCCGAAGGGCACATAGAGGAAGACAAGGAGGTAGTAAACCGGCCGCCACCATCTGAGAGATGTGGCTTCCTGTTTTGGGTTCACCAGGGAAAGCAATGGGCTTGCTCCTGTGAGGTTGCCTGGAAACTCTTTGCCAGCAGCTTGCAATTGCCTGTGAAAGGTATCTCTGCTTGCATCTGTGATCATGGGCGCGAACATCTCCGGTGTCATCATGAAGCCACACAAGCCTCGACCGGGGCGGCATTCGGGCTTCTCGGGAGGTGTGGGCACCTCCCAGATGGATCCGGTAATGGCCCAAGCGCAGGCACGTGGCTCCGTGCAGTCATCGGAGACCGCATAAAAAGGGCTGACATCGCATTGAAAGATTGGTCGGACCATGAAGTGACACTCTTTCCACTCTTTTTCCCTGTATTTCTGGCGTTCGGCATAACAGTGCGTAATGTTAATGGGAATCGCCCTGTGCATGTGATGATCTTCCGACAGAGAGCCATCCTCAAAGTAGATGCTGCCCTTGAAGTCCCTCCACTCCTCTGTGCAAATGCCTACATGCTCCAGAGGCTTTAGAGAATCGATCTGCCAAGACCTAAGCACCGGAGAGCCCGTGCCGGTCGCAAGATACAGGACCAAGGCGCAGACGAAGAAGCATGGGCAGGTGCAGCAAGCCCCGGAGGGGCTGTCCCCGATGGCCATGAAGATCAAACCCCAGGTCAGGAAGTTGAATCCCAGACCTCCAAAGAAGAACACCATCATTGCAGGGAAGATGACGAAGAGACCACACCAGCCAAGCGAGCTCATGATGGAGGTCGAGTAGGCTAGCACCAGAACCAGGCCAGTATACGGCACTAAGCTTGCTAGGCTTAGGAGGGCCGCAGCCCCCGTGTTTTCCTCCATCGCTCAAGATGACCTGAAGCCGTCTGATACCGAAACAACAGTCTAAGAATTCACACACCCCTGTGGCGAAACTCTGAGACCCTGCCTTGCTACCCTAAATGCATCAAAAAGAGCGTCCGATACTAAACTCCCGAAAGACCAGATTCTTTGTGGTCTTTGAGCCTTTTCTAGGACCGGGGCAAATGCTGCGCGTTGTCCGTGGTTTTTGTCCACGCACGAAATCTAAAGGAATTACCAGAATCGGGATATACTGTATAATTAGCTAACATGTTTCCCCCAGCCTAGCTGCAACCAAGTACAACCCTTCGCAAAACTTGTTTTGCGAAACCCTTGCAGCGACAGCAAATCCCCGAAACCCCAAACAACCCCGCGCACAGCTACCGAATTCTTGCAAGGCCTAAACCCCTAAACCCTAAACCCTAAACCCTAAACCCTAAACCCTAAACCCCGAACCCTGAATCTCCATGTAAACCCTCACAGAGGAAGGCCTCGACCTCAAACCCCATAGAACCCCCAAAGGACCCCCTAAAAGCCTGAACTCTAAAACCCTGAAACCTTAAACCCTAAACCCTTTTAGCCCTAAACCCTAAACCCTTCCAGCCCTAAACCCCTATAGAACCCTTCGAGGAACCCGTATAGTACCCTTGTAGTCCCCTACAGTACCCTTAAAGGAACCCTTAGAGGAACCCTTGAAGCCCTAGACGCCTCACCGATTTCTCCTCTTCTTCAGCCCATCGTCTCAGCTCACCGGCCCAATGTCGCAGCTCCTGCAGTCGACAGAATGGGCCCGAAGTTCTTGGGAGTTTAGGGGCTTTGGGTTTGGGAGTTTAGGGTTTCGGATTTAGGACTTAGGGGCTTAGGGTTTAGGAGTTTAGGGCTTAGGGTCTGGGTTTTAAGTTTTAGGGCTATCGGGTTTAAGGCTTAATCAAGATTGAGGTCGTAAGCCTAATTCAGGTTGAAGCTGTAAGGGTTTGAGGCTTAGGTTTCAACTCCTAACGGGCTTCAAGGACTTTAGGGTTAGGTGCTACCTATAGTCTCCATTGTAGTTCCTTTTTTTTGGGTCAACCAATAGTATAATAAGGATTTTGTAAGGTATCCCCAAAAAGGAACTACAATGCAGACTATAGGTAGGTGCTAAGGTGTAGGAATCACTCTTGGGAGCAGTTCTGTAAGTTAGCTTCCCTGTCGGTGTACAGGAGGCAAGCAGTGACGTATGCACTGGCGCTGCAAGGCTTGGACTAGGTCAGTAATCACCAACGAAATCTGACAAACCGTAAACTCTAAACCCTAAACCCGCGACCCTAAACCCTAAACCCTATGTAACCCCAAAGCCCTCATCGAATAGTTATGCTCATGGGTTTAGAGGCCAGGACTCCGGGTGTCGCAGCATTAACACAACCCTAAGCCCTAAATCCTGATAGAACCCGACTGACAGAGTTCACACAAAAGCCAAACGTTCTGCAAGAACCCTAAACGCCAAACTTAGCCGCTAACCCCTACACCCAATACCAGGGATTTCGGGCTTGCTGGTTGGTTTAGGGTTCAGGGTTTCGGGTTTAGGAAGCACTGCTTCACACTTGTTTAGCTACTCAGGGCTACGAGCTGAAGAGTTGCAATTCTTAGAAACGGTATTGAGGCCTCGAGCCCACAAGACAACCCTGTAAGTCAAAGTATAAAACCAACAGGAGAAAAGGTAGCCTTCCCTAACCCTAAACCCTAAACCCTAAACCCTAAACCCTAAACCCTAAACCCAGGATATGGCGAGGTGAGAGGCTTCCGGTTGGTGCTTAAGCTTAAGATAATGAGGCGTGAGAGCAAGCATTAAACTGCCTCGGCGTGCTCCGCTGCAGTTTTCTGAGTGGAGGTACTTCCTGTGTCACCGCCTTGGTTGCCTGGCTTCGGGATGAAGGGGCTGAAGGCTTCGGGGTGAGGCTTCAGAGCTACGTTCAGGGGTGCTGGTTCGACGGACACGCCTCGAATCAGTGAGTCGGGCTTGCTTTCAGGGCCCCAGTGGCAGTGCTCTATGGTATGAGATTTGGCTGCTGATCCGAGTTCCCAAAATACCCTCATCCCTAAACCCTAAACCCCTAAACCCTAAACCCCTAAACCCACGTAACATCTAAAAAACAACCCGGGATGGGAGTCCTTGAACCGTTTTCCCTAAAGTTTGCTCTGGCAAGTCTTAAACCTGCGGCTGTGTCCCCAGAGCCTATATCCTGCGCCAACAACGCCCCGATGGCTTATGAAACGCTGGAAAACACCCAAGCCCGGACCCTAAGACCCCTGTAAATTAGGAGTTGAGATTAGGGGGAAATTTGCGGACCCTAAACCCTAAACCCTAAACCCCCTCTCAAGAAGGTCCCTTTTCAGAGGGCCATGAGTAGGGTTAAGAAGGGTCTTCTTCAAGGCGTCTCCCTCATACTACCCCTCTAAATCCTGTTCGGCCAGAACCTGCCGCCTGATTGATGATCGGGACTAACACTTAGAGAACTACTGTTATGGAACCCTTATAGTACCCTTATAGAAACCCTTATACGTCCTTTCTTATGGGACCCTTATAGAAACCCTTTTAGATCCCTTAAAGGAACCCTTTAAAGGGGCCGATGATTGGAAACCCAATTGGTTCCCGGCTTTGAACTTGCTTGTCTGACTAATATAGGGGCCTTAACAGCTAGAATAGGGTTCCTGTAAAGGGTTCGTTTCAAAATGGCTACCATAAATGATAGTCTAAGGGTTTAGGGTGTAGGGACCTGCATAATTAGACTCGGGTTTTGGGGGCATGTGACACTATATATTGTAATAGGGAACCCACAACACCCTATTCTAACAATTAAGGCCCCTACAGTAGCTAGTAGCAACAGTTTCTTGAAGGGGGGTTAGGGCTTCGGGTTTAGGGGTATGGGTGCCTGACCAACTAGTGGCACCTTGATGTTTGTTTTGGTTTGAAGGGGGGGGTTGCTTAATTTATATTCGTCTTGTCGTCGCCTTTGCTGCGGCCCCTGTATTAGGACTGAGAGCTGTCTCCTCAACTAAGCACGCCTGATATCCCGAAGTAGCACAAGGAAGGGCGATGGCATGAAATCCTATAGGCACTCTAGAGAAATACTGTATGTAGCGATGTCATAGTCATGCCCTCTAAGTCGCACACTGAAGTGTTGTAGTCGGTGGTCATGTTGCAAAAAACACCCTGATTGTTCAACATACCGATGCCCAACAAAAAATCACCTGCGCCTGAAGGTTACGTCCGTGGCATAGCAGAAGACTAGTTGCTGTCTCATCGCGCAGGTTGGAACCGCTGGTGGCACACGCCCGGCTTCTAAACCGAGGCGAAGGAGCAGTCGCTCCATGGCTGGCCGGTGACTTCATTCAAGTCACTGAAACCCTAAACCCTAAACCCTAAACCCCTAAAGCCCTATACCCCTAAACCCTAAACCCTAAACCCTAAACCCTAAACCCAAAGCCCTAAGCAGCACCCTCCTTCTTGTTTGAAGGGTCAAGCAGCTGGCAGTTATTGAAACCAGAAAATCAGGAAACACCCACCTG